CCTACTACTTTTTTGGCCAAATTAGATTTTAAACTGTACCAATTGCGGATTTAGACCCCCCCCCCCTCTTTGTGTCCAAAATATACATCAGATTTAATAAATCAATTTTTGGGTGTGGCCTTGAGCCAGTACCCCGAGACCACACTGGTCCCCCCCCCCTTTTTCAAGATTCCTGGAACCGCCACTGTGTATAATGTTACCAATAATATATATATATATATTTATATAGCCTTGTGCATATTTTTCATTACATACAAACTTACATCTTCTACAATATTCTCCTCCTTTTGATAAACTTTGTAGTTATGATTTGCCAAAGTAAGTTGCTTTCTGAAGCAAGCAAAAATTCCTATAATGCAAATATATTAATAAGATATATATCTGGAATGTCCTGCTAACATGGTGATCTTTGAATATAGACCAATTAAGTCTATTATATAAAAAAAAATATTTAATTTAAAATTATATCAATTTATTTGAAAAAGCTTCTTACATGCAGTTTTTATACAAAATGAATATTTGAAAACATTCAAATTTATACCTGTGCCTAGGGGTTGTTCTAAACATCCCACTGACTGCCCTATCTTCTGCTTGTTGTTTTCCTCCAATTGCATCTTGCATTTTTCTCATGGGTTTTAGAGTACATGGAATCCCACATGATGGGAATGCAAGTCAGACCTCATAAAATTTGTTTCAATATTTTGCAAAGTGAATTTGACATGAAAAATTTATTATCATAATAAAGACCTGTACATCATTATCGAGTTGAATGCTGAGAAAGCAGTCTCTCCTTCATTTGATGAATTCCTTTGCCATTCACACCTGAATTCCATTTTTAAGAGTTGAAAAACACATTATTTTTCCGTTATTGTTTCATGTTTATTTTTCTGGCGTCTGTTTTTGCCACATGTTGTTATAAACTTCTTTAGACTTCAATACAGGAGAGTCAACAAAGGAAAATAACACCAGTTTAATTTTTTGTCTTCAGTGCAAAAGAGTCAGCAAAGGGAAATAACTCTAGGTTAATTTTTAGGAAAAGTTATAATTTGAGGGGATTGGAATATGACTTTTAACTGATTTCCCCACCTCAAATCTTTTTGCATCTTTTAGATCTAAGCTTGATCTTACTAAAAAGATCTTTTTTCTAAGTTTCAATTGCCTGCAAAATTTAATATCCATATCAAGAAATAGGCACCTTTGTATTCATTTTTATGACAAATTCATGTAAATTGATCTGTATCATATTAAAAACCTTGGGTTAAATTGAATAAAATTTAGATGTACAGAAACTTTGATTACTTAGCTATAAAATGAAACCCATGTTATGTTCATAACTTTCCTACATTAAGGAAGCACGGAATTATTTTACATGGTGATGACAATCAGGTCAGTTTTGCCATGGCAAAATATTTCAAAGTTGTTGCTATGGAAACCAAGGAGGTACTGTCCAAAATTTACCCCTCAATAGTCTTTATATAGGGCACTCTCTAATATTATAGTGATAAAATAAAATTCTATGATAGTGCGTGGCCAAGCATTTTTGGTCCTTACAGAGAATTGATGTTAAGCTTTTGCAATGAAATTTTATATCATAACTCCCTATGGTCCCGCCCGCTCCTCTTAAAGTGTCCCGTCCCCCCCCCCCCAACCACCACCACCCTCCAACCACTACCCCTCTAGATCCGTACATGCTCTTCTTTTTTCCTTAAGCAGGGGACATAGATTCCCTGAATTAGCTTGTTAGTATAGCATTTATACTTGGATATTGTGAAAAAGTATCCTGTTTTATACACAATTTATTTTTTCTGAAACTGCGTGGTAAATAAATTACATTCTCACCTTTAGCTTGATGCATAATGTGAAAATGCTATGAGAATGTTTTTTAAGGTCGTTTATTGATAAAAATGTAGCCAAGTCAAAATATTGAAAGCCTATACACTTACCATATTGAGTGACTTTCATGTAGAGAATTGTGCTACATGCATGTAAAAACACTCTTTTGTTGTTTTTATAGACTAAGTCCTTGTTCTAAAATGTACATTTTTGACTCTATTCAACAGCCCGCACTTTTCCAGTGACAGTCAAATTATGTTAATTTCCTGTGACTTTTTGTTCAGAGAAGTTGACAGAAAAAGCCTAAGTCCATTTTACTTTGCAATATTATTCTTAAAAACTTAAAAATTTAGAGACACTGATGATAAATACATGTATTTCAACCCAAATATGCATGGGTTTACACGTAATAGATCTGCTATTTCCCAAAATTTAATAAATGATTATCTGTTGTAAAAATCTGCTGGATCTGTTCGGATAATCTGTTTTTGTGCTTTCTTGAATTTATGTCAGTTGCTAAATTTGAGTTGGTTGGTAAGCTTGATGGAATCGTACACCTTATGGTGTGTAATGTAAACATAATTTCTAAAGATTAGTCCTTGAAAATGTTGAAAATAAATAATCTGTCCCTGCCTTCTTCCTACGGTTTTCATTTTTTTAAAAAAATGAATATAGTAAAGTAACCAATGACTAGGACTTATTTCGCCCCTTCCAGGAACCATGTAAAAGCACTTACCCACATCAATTGGTAAGAGGCATTTGTAAAAAAAAAAAAAAAAAAAAAAAAAAAAAAAAAAAAAAAAAAAAAAAAAAACATGGATACCTTGTAAAACGTTAAGAAGCGTTATTTATAAATATTAAAGGAAGTGGTTCATTCATAAGTGATTAACCCCTTCCCGCCCCCATAGAGGTATAGATTCATTTTTTGTTTAATTTTAGAGTTTTTTTCTTTTGGTAGAAGGGGGGGGGGTGTCAGAAATTTATTTATGTTTTCATTGTTAATAAAATACAGCTAGACTGAATAGATATTAATTTTACTGCTACAAGGTTCAATCTAAATGTATCTTAGTCTAGAGGTATGATAAACCGTTAACTTTAAATATGATTCAGACAATTTGTATTTCTATGCAAACCCACCAACCCCACCCCAATCCCCCAAAAAGTATAATTTTGACTGGTCGATAGGAATCTAACAAAACATTTTTATTATTGGCCTTAACAATCTTTTTTATTTTTTTTTACTGGGTAAAGACCTTTCCCTTAAAGAAAATTCTTGCTTCAGCAACATTATCAACTTACATTACATCATTCGATATAAACTTGATACACCTGTACTTTGTTGTTGCCAAGCCTATTTTTATCTGACTTTCAACTTCCAGTTTTGTACGATCATGTAAATGTAGCTAGACTTTAATTATTTAGGTAAAATCAAAAGCCTACTTTTCTAACATTATAATTCTTTTTTTTTCACATTCGTTAAAAAAAAAATACTGGCTTTCCTGGCTGTTATTCATTGTAATATATCACATACTCTGACTAAGACACTGTACCTCTTCTTACAACATTTCAATATAATTCTGATATCTTAGTTTATTTTTTTCCCCCAATTTTGAAACTCTTAAGACCTTGAGGCTTAGGCTTCAATATCATGAATGTGCACAGAGCTGATTTTTTGCACCATGTGATCTTGTACATTTCCCCATTGTTCACTCATAAAAATTACTCTTTTGTATCCAGGAAATAATGAAGGAGGTTAAAATTTGTATGCACATTAAATAAACAGAAAAAAAAAAACACTTGATTTTACTTGAAATCCAGGATATATCTTGACAATTTAAACAACTTCCAGTCAGTTTTGTCCAATGATTTTTTTTTTTTTATCCCTCACACTAAAGAGCTCACAATTATCAAAGGGAAACAATTCAATTTTAAAATGAATGTCTGCTATTTTTATCATAGATTTCTCATATTTATAGACTGAATACCAACAATGCTTTTAAATGACTTTTAAAATCAGATGTCATACTTTTTATTTCTGTGAGTAACATGAATTGAAGTAGCCGCATTTCATTGAATAACATTCCCAAAAATTGCATTTTTTTCCGAAAAAAAAATCAACTTTAGACACCGTTTCCATGGTAACTACTCAACATTTATATGATCCAACAATTTTTTTTGGGGTAGTTTATGAGGTGATAAATTCTAGCCAAATTTGAAAAAAATCTGTGACTATGCGTGCCTTAAAAGTTTTAGTGGTTACAGAGAATGGCTATTAAATAGAAGTGTAGGTGTTACAGACCATTAATTTGTTTGATATGCTGTAAACAATTTAGGAAAACCATTGAGGTTTGTCAATCATGTTTATATTATCCAAGGGTTTAACAAAAGTGTAGGGGTTATAAATTATCAATTTTTTGTAATACTGTAAACAACTTAGAAATAGTCTTGAATTTTTTTCTTAATCATGCTTATTATTCCTTGAAAATTTCATTCAAGCTTGAGAATGCATAAAAATATACATATAAGCAAATGTATAGATAAGGAGTAACCTTTGCAATATTTTTTTTATGCCAGATGCTTCATCTGCAAATATTTTAAAAAGTAAATCTGCTTCTGAATTGTAAAATTGTTTTTCTTGTGTGTGATTACATTATTAAGTATTCCCATTTACTGGTGGCTAAGCAGAGAATCTGAAATTTAAAGCAGCAGTTTTATGCAAATAATTATCTTAGTTATATACTTAAGTAATTGTATTACTTGTGATGATCACTGCTTTCTAATTTCAAAAGAATCTGTCAGTAATTTTTTACTTAAAATGAACATTTTATTTCTAGATTTTACGGGTTTTTAAGAAAACGAAATGCTTAATTATGGTTGAAATACTATGTAATTCAAAATACCTAAGTAATTATTTTATTTACTTATGTTAATTATCTTTTTACCCATTGCCATTTCTAAAACTAGTAGAAGGATATTACTTGTGATTACTTTAAATTATTACTCATTTCTTGAAATGATTGCTATAGTGACAAACATATTTACTTTAAAATTACTTGAACCAAGTAATTTGATTACTTATTTTGAGTGAAAGTAAGTAATCCTTTTTTAGTGCAGGGTTAAGTTTCGTTCGAAAATAAATAGATTTCTATTTTGTAAAAGTGACAAACCTGCAGTGCACTAGTAATGGAACATCTGTGTGTATTCTATTGGCTACAAATCTGTGGAACTGAACAAGTGCCACTTCCTCTGGTGTACCGTGGTCTGGCCAGGCGGTGTAGTGATACTGCGTAATGACTCTCCTACTGTAGGGCTTTTATAACATAAATAATAAATAAATAATAAATAACATAAATAATAAATAAAGAATAAATAACATAAAGAATAAATAACATAATAAATAACATAAATAATAAATAAATAACATAAATAATAAATAACATAAATAATAAATAACATAAATAATAAATAAAACAAATAATAAATAAATCATAAATAAATCATTAATAACATGAATAATGAATAAATAATAAATAACATAAATAATAAATAGCATAAATAATAAATAAATCATAAATAACATAAATAATGAATAAATAATAAATAATGTTACAGATTTTCCCCTTATCAAAACAACCCATAGATTGGATCACCCCAATTCATCCCCTTAATATTAAATCTACATGTCGTTATTTTATATGAAAACATCATAGGAATATCACCAACTATTGTATGTTATTAATGTACGCTTTATGTCTCATCTTATATGTATATTTTATGAAAATCGTCTGGTTGTATTGTACAAACCCGAATTTCCTCCATAGATCAGCCCTCTCGTAATAACAAAAGGCCATCTGGCTATGTTATTCCCCTGACATACCCAAAATCAGCTTGGCATCGTATCCAAAACAATTACAAAACGACAATTCATCCCTTTTCCCGCCTTTGTAATGTTAAAGCCTTTTACTTGGTGCAAAAGTTGTAACTATACAAACATCGCGCGAATACTAGCGGTACCGCTTGTTATTCGCGCGTGAAGTAATTCGCACCGTTGAACGAAAGGTATATAAAGGCGACGTTTTGAACGTCCTCTTCAGTTTGGGACGTTGGTCAGTCGTATTAACACCTTGACTGAACTGCTCCAATATTCCCAACTCATTTACACCCATAATTATGGGTAGGAATCTGCCACCCATATGTTTTCATTGGGTAAATTGATCCCTGGGTGACCCAACAACTGATTATTGTTACTTATACGTCCTGACCCATTACCCATAATTGTTTCTTGATTGTATTTATTAATCATAAATTATTGTTTTAATAAATTCCTTTTTAAAGTTAAACAAATCTCTTTAATTAATTAAGGTAAATCTCAGAAATAAGAGACCCACAGACAATATTTGTAACGTAACCCATCAAGCGGGTAAAAGAATATTCAAAAACAACAGCTATACCGGAAAACGTTACAACTGGTGTCAGAAGTGGAATTTCCATTTTCTTATTTCTGTTTACCAATTTTTTTTTATTATAAAAACAAAAGGATTGGTATATTTTTATACATTTTTATTGACCAAATATATTTTTGTTCCCAATATTTACTATGGAAACTGAAGAAAGTTTTGAAGTCACTTTCAAATCACACCCATCTTCACTCATTGCTGTGGAAGATCATGGGGATTATTTACCCGCTTCCAATCTCCAATCTTCCCCAATGGCATCAGTTTCAGCACCTCCTGAAAAGGATAATCAATTTGATATGTTAATGTCTATGATGCAAAATGTTAACCAACAGTTGTTGGGCATGAGACATGAATATCATGAATTGAGAGATCATGTTGATCATTTAGAAAGAAAATTTGAAAACCCAACCTATGACAGGGGAGAAAATCATCACACGCCCAAAGCCCAAGTATCCAAATCCATTCACCCTGTCAATTCTAATGATGATTTCCCTTCCAATATTCATTCAGACCCAATGTATGGGCAAAGGGAATATAACCCAAGCACAATGTCGGGTACCCATTATCCCCACTTACCCGAAATAAACAGGAACGAAAACAGAATGCCTTCTCCATTCATACCCAAAACCACTGTAACCATAAAACCCCAAACCTTTGATGGGTCAGAGGACTTTGACGAGTACCTCGCCCAATTTGAAATTTTAGTTGACTTACATGGATGGGATTATAAAACAAAATATCTGTACCTTGCCAGTAGCCTTACGGATAGTGCACGAGCTTTACTGAGTGAACTTAATGAAAATCAAAGGCGAGATTTTAACTCCCTTGTAGAAATCCTAAACAGAAGATATGGTTCCATTTAGAGATCGGAGATGTTCCGTGCCCAACTTAAAACCAAAACTAGGGGACCAAATGAGTCCTTACCTGAACTGGCCCAATCTATTAAGAAATTAACCCGCCAGGCCTACCCAACAGCTGACCCAACCATCATAAGCATTCTTGCCCTTGATCAATTTATTGATGCCCTGCCAGACCCAGAAATGCGACTACGGTTGAGGGAAGCTAAACCCAAAGACATTAATGAAGCAGAGATATTAGCCATTCGATTAGAAACTTATAGTTTGGCAGATGCCCAAAGAATCAAGTCTGTCAACTCAGTTCAGGAAACTGACCCCATTTCTTCATTGAAACAAGATAATCAAAACTAACGGGATGACCAACAATCCCTCACCCTAAAAATCAAAGCTCTTATAAGAAATGGTCCAATGCCTGCCTATGATTTTGCACAAACTCCCTATGTGCATTATTCAAATAATGACTCTTACCCTAACCCAGGTAGACCCAACTACCCAAACAACAGACCTAAAAATTATGGACCTAGACCCCAGGGTTGATCAAACCACAGAAATTCTAACAGTGGGAACCATTACCCCAAGAACACCAGACAAAGTCCTTTCCGACCTCAAAGACAGGGAAACTACCCAGCGTCGAATTCGGGGGTCGAAGTCGACAGGTTCAAGGGGCAGGCCCCAACACTCGCTATTAAATATGGCTCAACCTCTCCCACTAAAGCCCAGACCCAATGTTGAAAATGAAAATTTTAATGAAGTAAAACCTGAGAAAGAAATCTCTTGTAGTACAAATTTTAGTGGGAGATATAAAAGGGGGAAATGATGGAATTTATATAATTGGAAAAATTTGGAATAAAGAAACAAGTATACTAGTAGATACGGGCGCTAGTGTGACCATTGTCAGTACCCAATTCTTTGAAAATTTAGATTCTATGGAAAAGCTCCAAATAACCCCAGTTTCTATCAATCTTACATCTGCAAGTGGTAATGCAATCCCACTTAAGGGAGAATGCCCAATCAAAATATCTCTTGAAAATTTTCAAGTTACCCATAAAATACTTGTGGCTGATATACAAAACCCATGTATATTGGGATAAGATTTTATGACCCAGAATTCATGTGACCTTTATGTGAAAAAGATGAAACTAAAGGTACAAGGTATAGACATTCCCTGCTTTAGTAAATCTTGTATAGAAGATGTTTCTTGTAGCAAGATAAGTCTTGCCGAGGATACTCAAGTCCCTCCCCATTGTGAATATGTTGCCCCTGCAAAGGTAGATAACTCTTTATTTAAGGATGAGGTTAAAGTAATAAAACCCATTCAGAGTTTTGTTGAGAAATATGAATTGTTGATTCCCAAAACCCCTGTAACTGTAGACAGAGAAGTCACAGTTTGTCACATGAATTTGAAAGATGAAAGTATCAAACTTAATAAGAATACCCAAATTGCCACAGTCAACTGTGTTGACAAAGTACTAAATAAATGGGTAGACCCAGACAATACCCATACCCTTAATCCTCTTAGCCCAGAGCTCAACCCCCAATTTCCAGACCACTTGCAATGTATTGTTGAGAAAATTCCCAGAGAAAATACAATTGAATCAAAACAAGAGTTCCATTTGGATGAAAACTGCCATGAAGCTTTTGATAAACTCCAAAGAGCCATAACAAGTTCTCCAGCCCTGCCCTACCCTGACAATGTAAGATTGTTTACCATTGATACTGAAGCCTCCAATAGTGGGTTAGGCACCATACTCATTCAAGAACCAATAGGTGTAGAAAAATCATCTAAACCATACTCATCACCTAAGCGAGCCACCTTTAGTCCATACCTTGTCTTGAGGAAGCCTTCCAAGCCTTGTGATGTATTTCCGGACATGGATCCTGAACATTTCTTTCCCTATGATTCCGAATTCTTAAGGAACGGATGTGTACCTTTTTAGACATTTCAAAAGACATACATTATTCAACGTTGTGACCTGTATAACGAATGTGAATATTTGGATCTGAATGAAATCAGAAAATTTGTAGTGTGCCATATAGCTGTGACTGTTCCATTCCAGTGGATCCAGGATGTAAAGATGAACTGTGATAAAACAAATACACTGTTTTATAAACTATTTCGTTAAAAACTAGTGCATTGATAATTGTCGATTTGTTGTTCATGTTATTCTTATTACTCATGCCTATGATTGCTATACAAGTTATTAACCACATTGTTATAATTATTGATATGTATGTATCATTGTATGTTTTGTTGTGACCCATTATGAAATATTTATTGTAAACTTAACTCATTGACTATGTTTTCTTACATGGAGATATTCCCATGAAAACTGGTCATAAAAATGAGTTATGATATAAAGATCCAACATTGGGGACGAATGTTTTACATGAAGGGGGGCTGTGTTACAGATTTTCCCCTTATCAAAACAACCCATAGATTGGATCACCCCAATTCATACCCCAAATATTAAATCTACATGTCGTTATTTTACATGAAAACATCATAGGAATATCACCAACTATTGTATGTTATTAATGTACGCTTTATGTCTCATCTTATATGTATATTTTATGAAAATCGTCTGGTTGTATTGTACAAACCCGAATTTCCTCCATAGATCAGCCCTCTCGTAATAACAAAAGGCCATCTGGCTATGTTATTCGACTGACATACCCAAAATCAGCTTGGCATCGTCTCCAAAACAATTACAAAACGACAATTTATCCCTTTTCCCGCCTTTGTAATGTTAAAGCCTTTTACTTGGTGCAAAAGTTGTAACTATACAAACATCGCGCGAATACTAGCGGTACCGCTTGTTATTCGCGCGTGAAGTAATTCGCACCGTTGTACGAAAGGTATATAAAGGCGACGTTTTGAACGTCCTCTTCAGTTTGGGACGTTGGTCAGTCGTATTAACACCTTGACTGAACTGCTCCAATATTCCCAACTCATTTACACCCATAATTATGGGTAAGAATCTGCCACCCATATGTTTTCATTGGATAAATTGATCCCTGGGTGACCCAACAACTGATTATTGTTATTTATACGTCCTGACCCATTACCCATAATTGTTTCTTGATTGTATTTATTAATCATAAATTATTGTTTTAATAAATTCCTTTTTAAAGTTAAACAAATCTCTTTAATTAATGAAGGTAAATCTCAGAAATAAGAGACCCACAAACAATATTTGTAACGTAACCCATCAAGCGGGTAAAAAAATATTCAAAAACAACAGCTGTACCCCAAAACTTTACAATAACATAAATAATAAATAGCATAAATAATAAATAAATCATAAATAACATAAATAATAAATAAATCATAAATAACATAAATAATGAATAAATAATAAATAGCATAAATAATAAATAACATAAATAATAAATAACATAAATAATAAGTAACATAAATAATAAATAACATAAATAATAAATAAATAAATAAATAAATAAATTATAACTGATTAATAAATAATGAATTTGTTCTTATCGTTCAAAAAATATCAGGAAAATAAGTTTTATGCTGTTACGAAAAGCATTGGTTATGATATTTTATGATTATAGTCATGGAGTGTTCTATAAAATCCTTTTATTATATGAATTCATCTTTACATTAGATACACATTAACAGAAAAAAAGGGTTATCAAAAAGATTATGAACATAAAAAGATATAAGGTCATATGAATATAATGAATTCTTACTTGTTTTCTTTCTACCGAAAGTTTTCGCAATGTATGGAATGCATACACTATTTCCTCCAATAGAGATATATTACATGGACCAATTTGTATTGAATTATCGTTATTTGGCCAATATTGGGTGCACTTGTGCTAAAGAAAAACCCAATTGTTAAAAATATACATTTCAAAATTACACAAATTTACAAATAAACAAAGAAAATGCAAGTATATATAGGGTTTCATCTTTAGAATTATGTTTTTCTCACCTTTCCTTTTTCTACTATGTTAGTCAGCATGATAATATCTTTAATGTCTTCTTGCCAAATCATTCTCCAAAAATCTTTCAATGTGTTGTTTTTAGGCCCTGTTAACATATTTGAAGTAAGATCATTTTAAAAAGAAATTATTATTTTATGAAGAAACAAAATGCAGTTTAACAAAATACCAATTTAATTAGAAGCTGTTTTCCGAATAAAGGGGGCTTCCAAATTATATTGTTGAATTTTGGAAGGGGGAGATGTGCACATGTATTGTAGAATATACTTCTAATTCCCAATAGATCCTCAAACATATGTTTTTAGTTAGTCTAATCAATGGATTTTGAGATAAAACCTAATTTTCTCGATATTCATCGTCTAAAGCGAATGCTTTCTCCTTCGTTGAGGTAAAGTAGTCCACTATCAATGGTAAATAAAATCAATGATAACGACAAACCTTGAGCTGCAATATAGCGATTTTCTCCTTTGCAATCCTACAAATGATATAAAATCCAATCTCATTTTGCATAGTATTAATTCATGATTGGCTTAATAATATATAGACATTCGTAACAAATTTATGTTTAATCATACCGAAATAAAGTTGGCGTTGATGTAATCATTGTCAGGGTCTGTCCAGATTTCCTTAAGAATGATCCTGGAATGGTCATCTGAAATTTTAATTTAATTTAATTTATTTATTTATTTTATTTTATTTTTTATTTTAATTTATTTTTTTGTTTGTTTTGGTAAACAATTAAAAATGTTTTCTTATTTTATGATACAAGAATAAATGGTTGGCGTTATGCAGAAAAAACACACACCCGCATGAGTGGGCAATGCATTTTTTCTGCAATCCCTTACAAAAATACTAATTTAAAAGTTAACTATAGTTTACTATAGTTAACAATACTTAGCTATAGCAGCAAAGTTTTTACTATGGTATATCAAAGTACGTTTATTATGGATTTAAAATTGATATATTTTATGTTATCAATTTAACAAACATACACATTTTTTTTTTACATTAAAAGCAGATATTATCATTTGTATATTAATGTATTAATTGAACACCACTATTATCGAATTAAAGAGATTTTAGGCATTAAAATCTTAAAAGTACGAGAGTAAAGTTTCATAAATCAAAGTATCAAATTTAACAATAATTAACTATAGTAAACTATAAATAACCATAGCAAATTCTAAGGGGCATTTGCATTCCCTGATCTTCGTTTTAACAAACATTTAAAAAATATTGCTTACATTTGCAAAAAAAAAAAAAAAAAAAAAAAAAAAAAAAAAAAGTAAAATGTTAACAAAAACACTAGAAATGTTGTATATTCTATTAAAGTATGGGATTTATGGAAGATCCTACATTTTGGAAAATCTCATAAACAAATGCCTAAAATAAATTAAAGATCAATAAAAGATCAAACTAATAAAGAGTTCATTAAATGATGAACAGTAATGGGTTTTAATAAGGAAATTCACCGAATGTTAATATATAAAAAAGACAATACTATAGTCTTACAAGGAAATGTTGTTTTAAACCGGTTCTTTGCAACGTTTTCCGTCTTTTTGGCACTTTCACAAATGTTCAGATTCGCTGGAGGAAGTCTCTATTACAAAAAAAATTAATCAAAATGAGTGCGATTCTCATTTTTTTTTTTTTTTTGCATCAATAATCAATCAACTTACGTATCTTTCTTTATTTAACCTTGACCTTTTGCTTCAAATTGATAATTAATGGTCACGAGATATTTCATGTTTTGCTTTGATAATTATTTGCTATATCTTAAACCTTGTATTCTTGAAGAAATTGACTATTCTCTCCCGTGCTCTTTTCGTTGATAACGTTCCGTAGATCCCCTATATTAATATTTGTAATGAACTGGCCAGTATTGTAATATCCATCTTCATCTGATTGATTTGTCCCTGGATTGCACAATCCATCAAACACATCTGTTTGATTGTCTGAAGAAAACAATATTGGTTGAATTATAATATCTCTTGAGTATCTAAAAAAAGCTCTCATGATTTTTTTTCTCTCTTTTTGCCACAAAACATATTTATTTTAGTCTTAAGGTTGCGAAAATCAAATTAAGAGACCTTGAAGACTTGATTAATTTTAAGTATTACATGTTTTGTTACACATCTCATTCTCTTTTAGAAAATTGCTCAAGTGATTCTTTAGATTTAACATAGTAAAACTTTAAAAACTACACATGACCTTCTTTCTAAATAAATAAAATAATGCTTTGTCTTGAATTAGCATAGACGAAGTGTATTATGCCTACTTTTCCCGTTTCTTCTTCCCTCTGCCTTTCTTCCAATGATTCCAAAATGTTTATTATTTTCCATAAGACCTTCTTGACTAGCATTGTTTCTATACCGTCTATAAGACCGAAATAGAATTAAATGTTTAAATGGTTAATCTGCATCAACTGAACAATTAATAAAACACTCAAGAGATATGTACCACACATAAAAAAAAAAGAAAAACTAGTTTTCCCTCTGAATAATATTCATATATTGCCTGTCATTCTTTTCAAACTTCACCATTTTTATAGTAACAGAAGAATATCGAAGAGATTACATCTTCCCTTGGGTGTTGATCGGTTATGAAATAAATGACATTTTTTGTATAGCATTTGAGATTATGAGAAAATCGGAACTGTTACATTAACCTGTAAAATATTGTTATGAAAATTCCAGCTAATATTGCAATTAAGACGGCTGCAACAGTCCCTCCGACTATGGCTGCATTATTTTCCTCTTCCTCTACTGTTGCAGCAAATACTAAAAAGAAAACATCAAACACCCCATGTTCAATTTTAAGGCAATATATTAAAAAGAAACCAACTGTCTTACCTTTGTCAATTTAATTAAACAGCACTTCTTTGATTTGTCATAAATTTCCTTCTTATTTGATGAAACAAAGAATTACGCCAAATCTATTTTTTTTTTTCTTTTACACTGCCTTGATTTCATTCTATTTCATTGAATTAGAAAAGCATGCGATTTAATTTATATACTCTTGCCAATACTCTTGCCAATCTGATACTTTTCATTCATTGAATATACACCATTTCCTATCGCTGCTTATGTTATACATATTTGCATAAGATTTCTCTTATTAGATTTAGCTTCTTCTGATTCATTTCTAATGTAAGTTCTGCATTATTTGAAACAAAAAAAATAGTCATTACTGTCAATTAAGGGAACACGATATTGCTGGGGTTTTCGAAATCCCCTCTCTATAAAACTCTATCAGAGACGCTGTGGGCATAGCTTTGAACATGAACCTTATCTTTCACATTGACTATCGTTTATATTTGATACAAAAGAGTCATATTCGGAATGTTTCGTGACGTACGAACTTAAGTAGTGCAAGTCAGCAATATTTATAGTTGAAATCCTCCAGTTTAAGTAGGTTTTGTTATTATTATGTTTTTGAGATTCTCTATACTTACATTATCAGAAATATATGTAAATAAAACAACGTCAAAAGCTTTATAAAGATATGCTCTTGTCTTGGGGAAGGTGATGCTCTTTTTCTTCAAGAAGGGATAATTAACCACTACTTTTCACCGATATACCATCAAAGAAAAAGGGAAAAAAGAATTTTATTTTGTTTACGAATTTGCATTGGTGTAAGAGTTTGTCATAACTAAATGTTCTAAATATAAAAAGTTTGGACAGCATTTAATGCCTTGATTTCTCCATTAAGTTTTAGAATATCGCTATTTTTCCTTTATATCCTGAGGAAAACACATGTAATACATTTCATAACCCTTGTTACAGACCCTGAAACGTGCTACTACCCCAAAAAAGCGTGTGACTTTCGTGCGCTTTTCGTTTCGTACAAACCGTGTAGCGTTTCGTGGAAACCGTGCAGCGTTTCGTGCAAACCGTGTAGCGAGCGTGCGAGAAGCGTGTGAGAAACGTGCGACTTTCGTGTAAAAACCGTGTGAGAAACGTGCGACTTTCGTGCAAGAATCCTGTGAGAAACGTGTAGGATTCATTCGGAACTCATTTTAAATATGGCTATTGATAGATCAACATGTCATTCTGTGTTGTTTGTAACTAATATTATTCGAATATATTATACCGGTGGTATTTTAAGAGAGAACAAACTACGGAAACAACAAAATAAAATTACTCGGTAATGTATTACATATCTGTTTGATTTTCTTTCTTTTTTTTATTTAGACAAAGAAGGAAAGAAAATATGTTCAAAATAATTAATTATACGCACACCAATTTTAAGGTATTTGATTCAATACATTTTTTTAAAGGGAGCAATACTGAACATTGTTTTAAAAAAATCATCAGTAATCCGGTCTTGTCCTTTTCATTCATTTATTTGAATCTCTTCACCATTTTACAGTTGTGGTATATGATATTACAAAAACATACGGGAGATTAATGCAAAATAATAAATAGATAAGGCAGGCGTAAAATATAAAATACTAAGTTTATTGCGTTGCTATAAATGTGAAGTATAGGAATTCTAGGCCGGGGAGCACAAATAATTTTTTTTTAAAAAAACGAACATAATATTCTTATATAACAAGATTGTGATACAAATAATTTTTAAACGATGAGTCATTTATAGTCTTTTTATGCATAAAATTGGTTGATTAATAATTGTCTTATAAATGAATCATAATTCACATGCATCGGCAAGTAGAAAGTTAAATATTTCCGGGGAAGGGGGGGGGGGGGGGGTGTTCAAATGTAAACACAAACTTTGAGCTTTTGTTATTAACATGTTTTTATACAGCCATAATTTTCTTTTTAAAGAAAATATTGTTTTTTTTTCGGGGTGCGCCTGATGCACCCCTTAAACATGTATAATAATCTTCTTTACACTTCCGACACTCTTCTTACGACTGTGATCAAGGTCATTTACAACAGCGATCACGGGCTCCGCGTGCCGGGAACTGAAAACTTGTTCTGCTATGTACATGTATTATCTTTTTACCAATAATGGCTAAGATGACACCCGACAATAACGATTGATTTTTAATTCGTGAAATGTAATAGTTGTATTAGTATTTAATGGGTAAAAATAAATACCCGTGGATTTTATTTCTTAAATTTATCCGATTCTCTGTAAACAGTGAATTAATTTGCCAGTGTATTCGTGAATAATAAAATTAAAGAAAAAAATCCGGAGTAATCATATATTAGTTGTTTTATTAATCACGCTGTTCTAGAGCACATTTTTTTTAGTTTTTAAGACACTGGACATATATTCATGTATATTGAATGTATTGTTAAGAGCCGCGACTATTGATTACATTTTTTTTTTTTTGGTCTAGACGGGATTTGAAATCAAGAATTTTACAAGGTGGTGGTTATATTGTTTTTATTTGATAAACACAATGCCTCAAAATATAGAACTAAAGCATTACAATACCTATTCCCCCGGCTTCTCTACCATATTAAATTCTAATGATAAGTCAAAGTATGATTCTGTAATGAAGTGATATATTTACCATTCTAATTAAAGTGCAGTTAATGAATTACATGTATCTGGTCCCGCTGCATGGAGATATGGATATTTTTTTTTCTTAGAACGGGCATTTGTTTCTATAGTATGGTATACTTACTGAAACAAGTGCCAGTTACATTTAGCCATGAACAGAAGTAAGATCTCGGTAATCTCTCTCTCTCTCTCTCTCTCTCTCTCTCTCTCTCTCTCTCCCCATCCTGCACAATGTTTTTGTTTGATTTAGTGTACATATTACCTTTGCAAATTATAAACAGAACCTAATTCAAATGAAAGTATTTATTTACTAAATCAAAAAATGAATAAATCAATCAATAATAAAAAAAAGGAAAGAAAATCAATCCGTTTACAGAAATCATACACAATTTAATTTTTTTTTTTCAAATCAATAACTTTGTTTATTTGTCAGTAATAAAACGATTTGTTAATATCAAACTATAATTGTAAAAACACTGAATGCTGTAAAGATTATGAATTACAAATATAATTATTTTTTTTTCAGTGCGTAATTTAGAGTCTAGTGAAAAAGTTTTGTACATAGACGATGATAGGCATTTCACCGAGCGGGCCACATACTCAATGACAACTATAATATTAATCAAATACAACTTAACATTGTGTATTTTTATCTGTTAACATAGTACTGGTGTTGCGAGTTCTAATCGATCCTAACTTAATCTGAATGATTGCAATTCTTAACTTATCTTCGATTAATCCGTAATTTATTAATTTAAATAAAGTCCGAGAGATTCCGAATAGAAAATCCAGATCGAGGCCAAAACGTGCGAGAACCGTGTACAAAGCGTGTGAGAAACGTGTACAAAGCGTTTCGTGCAGGCTTTCGTGTAAACCGTGCAGCCTTTCGTGCAAAGCGTTTCGTGTAAACCGTGTAGCGTTTCGTGCAAACCGCGTAGCGTTTCGTTTTAACCGTGCAGCGTTTCGTGCAAACCGTGTAGCGATCGTGTACCGTTCGTGCAGCGTGTGTGTGAGGTAGTAGTACGTTTCAGGGTCTGTAAGTAAAAAAAAAAATAGCACCTCATTACCAAAAGAATAGAAGATAAAAACATACTACTATGTCTGTTGGAAGGAAGATTCTAGTTATAGGTCAGAGAATTAAAGATGCCTTGAACTTCTCTCACTAATAATTCTCTAGCAATGAAACTGCAAGGAGGTAAATGATCACTTCTCGTCTCCCATCTGTCTTTATGTCCATCCAGCTATCCTTCAGCCTGTCTGTCTGTATATTCAACTTTTTCCGATTTTTTTTTTTTCATAAACGATATTGATATTGGGCTTACTTCTGATATGAGTGGACCTTGACGGGTTATAGATTAAGTTTGCACATTTTTTTTATAGTTCCACCATTTTTATGAAATAATGGTCTTTCCAGGGAAATGTATTTAGATAACGAACAGTATTCAAGCTCAAATGTCCATTAAACAATACAAATTTTCGAGCAGAGCGAACACGGTCCTCTAAAACATCAGAGGTGAGATCAGGTGTCATGGAGGAGTGAGCATCTCCTGCTGACCGGTCTCTCCCGTCTTGTGCTCCTTGTTATAATCGGGAAATAACATAAAAATCCTTCGACAATTCAGTGTGTAAATAATGGCCTAACAATTATGATGATCAAATCGTCAGTCAGCATTTGACTTAATGAAAATTGTATTTGCTAACAAGGTCATTGTATAGACCAAAGAACTTAAGAAATGACGACTTTAAACGGGACTGCTGATATTCTTGTTTCATCGACTTGTTTGTCAATAGCTTATCGAATCAACTGCGAGATATAAACCTCGTATGCAGGTAATGAAGGTACATTGCTGCATAAGTAAGGGACGTTGACGATTGAAAAGTTAAAGTCATCTCGTTCATCATAAAGCTTGCTTGTTAGATTACCATCAACGCCTTTTTCTAGTAAAATATCCAAATATGAAACAGAAGAATCAAACTCCGTTGTATTTTTTATTTCAAGCTCACTGGGATATATCGTATCGACAGAAGAATGGAAAAAATCATTGTTAATTGATAATACGTTGTCGATATATCTAAATGTCGAGTTGAAGGTCACAGCAAGTGTTTTTTTCTTCTTCTTTTTACGATTAGGATTTTTAACATATTCTGCTTTATATGATGTTTTGAATCAGATTTACTAATTGGTTACTCGACTTTTTATCTCAAACACTCGTAGATATTGAGCTGATTTTATTCTACAAGTGTACTTTGATGGGTTATAGATAAGTTTGCATTGACTCTCTTTATGAAATGATGACTTTTTTCCTAATTTTCAAGGGAGACAAGATTACATTTGCCGATAAGGGACAAGTATTGCTTAAGTAGTATTCTTAAAATTCTTATTATATTTGATTCTGGTCGGGACGCAAATACAGATTAATATGTTTTAGTCGACAGCAGAAAAAATATACTTGAACATTTCTAGAAAAGAATGCATTTCGGCATACTTTAAAACTTCTACCTTGACAAAAGGGTTCTTTCCAGTTTGTTTTGCAACCATTTAAACAGCTTCCACTTTTCTTGTCACAAGATTGTCCACGACAATTCCCACACTTAGTGCTGCAATTCTGGCCGTAAAATCCGTCAATACACTCTAAAAAGATATTAGTTACTAAAATAATGAGGTAGTGACACTATACGTCAGTATTTCTTTTCTTCTTTTTTTTTTATTTCATATATATTTTTTAATGATATTTATAATAAAGTTACCGGTTCGTTAGCAAATACTTTAAATGCAAGAAATTATATAATATAACAGATGTATTTATAAACATTTATGTGATCTTTTTAAACGACAACATTACATGACTGAATATATTGCAATAAAGAGATACTGAGATAGCGAACGGTATTCTAGCTTGAAGCCGATTAAATCAATACAAATTGAGAGCAGAGGAAACCCGGACCTCGAAAACATCAGAGGTACGATCAGGTGCCATGAAGAAGTGAGCATCCCCTGCCGACCGGTCACAACTTGTCATGATCAGGAAAAATGGAAGAATCCGAAGACAATTCAGTGTGTAAATAATGGTCAAACAATTAGTATGAAAAATTTCAGTCAACATTTGACTTTGTGTTGGATTTGCTGACAAGGTCATTGTATCGACCATAAATCTTTCAAAATGATGATTTCAAACGAAACCGTTGATATCCTTGTTTTTCATCAACTTGTTTGTCAATAGCTTACCTCGTTTTAGAAATTGTTCACACGTAGAGCTGCTCTTGCGTATCGAATGAACTGGGATACAAAAACCCTATTTACAGATTATAAGGGTATATTGCTACAGAAGTAAGGGATTGAAAAATTAAAGTCATTACGTTTATCATAAAGATTGGTTGTTAGGCTACCATTAGTGTCTTTATCTAGTAAAATATCAAAATATGAAACAGATGAATCAGACTCTGTGGTATCTATTATTACTTTAATGGTGTAGGGCCCAGGACTTTTCCACAATGAAATGCTTTGTAATAGACTTCAATATACTATTACATCTATATTATAATGATTTAGTACCATGTTATATGTCTGGAACTACATTTTAGAATAGTCCTAAGTTTACAGGTTTGTAAGCTTTAAATCAAATTGTCATTGATCTGTAAAGCATTAAAACATTCTTCAGTTGTAGCTGTATTGGAAATAATGCTATACATCTTACACTTATTTGATATTGTCATTTAAACAAATGTACTAGACGGTCATGTAAGGTGTTATGGAACAGATAATAAAATCAGAGACTCTAGATTTTTTCAACTGTTAATCATATACCATATTGCAACTGTAATTTACTTACTTCTTTAGCGTTTACTATGCATGCTGTACACGAAGCGCCTGTCTTACGAAGTAAATAATCACATGACGTAACTCTATCGTTTTGCAATTGATAAGTTAAAAATAAAACTCTCTCTTTCATCAAATACTCTTAATTTTTACTTACATACGAATTATTTGCAGGATTGTGACTTAATAATGTTTTAGTTGATGAAACTTGGTTGAATCTTGAATGTTCAGCGAAATACTGGTATGTAATATTTATTTCCTGTATGATAAGCTCGTAGATTGACCGCGTCAATTTCATTACAATATATTTGTTGTACTTATTTTTATATGCCTATGTTATAAAATTTAGGACTCTTACCTTACCTGTGTACAGGACATATCTAGTGATATTATTTTATTTATGTTAAACTAAATGTACGCAAAGTAATTTTTAGGGGCTCAAAAAAGGATATTATTAAATGGTTTTTATCATAAGACCGTTTTGGCAGTCTATATAAATGAAAACTGAGGATCAATGTCATTCTTACATCATGTCAACAACACCACTGAATGTAATGCATGTATTGCACCAGCATACTAGGCATGATTAAATAAGTTATTTTTCATGCATATATCCAACACAAACACTGTATTACACTCTATTGTATGAGGTATGAAATTTAAATTTATTACGAGCCTGAGTTCTATACAGGACACTTGAGAAAATTGATTGCTTTATTCATTTACTTCTTTGAAAAGTTTCATTAAATAAAATATTTGAAATAATTAACAAAAGCATGAAGTACAAAAGAACATTATGTTGGATTTGAAAAAAAAAAAAAAAGCTGATAGCTTTCTTTTTTTTTCGATGGTTATATCTGATGCGTAGTCCTGATAATAAATGCATGTATATCCCTCAACCTATATGCATATTGACCTCCGTAGGCTGATAAGCTTACAATGGGATGCTATGGAAGCTTACATTACAATGACTTATCTAACATGATCGCGTATCTTAAGAGAAACATAATGAATAATTTAATCATTTTCAGGCCACGGTAGTTAATATAGCACTAATCATGGATTAAAGGCAATAAATAGAGTAATAATAAAGGAGATACGTAGGCTGGGTATCGGCTGGGAATTTCGAATTGCGATAAAATGCGATATTTTTAACTGTATTGTGATACATTCCGTCACTACATTCTAAAATAAATCCTAGCAAAACTGGAATTGATGTCTTTTTTTTCTCCGAATAACATAGATATTGACTAAGAATGCTTAAAACACTAACTTTTTAATCATTAGAGTAAGGTCATTGATATAGATTTCAACTTTTGATAAAAAAAAAAAAAAAAAAACTAATTTGAAGGTGAATTGGAGTAAGCAGAGAATTTAAATATACAATAAAAAGATATGTAATGAAATTATTTATAGCCAAACAGTAGGGAAAAAATCCTACCCTGACAAAAAGGTTCTTTCCAGTTGCTTTTGCAACCTTTTAAGCAGCTTCCATTTTTCTTGTCACAAAATTTACTTCGACATTCACCACACTTAGTGCTGCAATTCTGGTCATAGAATCCGTCAATACATTCTAAAAGTATAAAAAGTTACTCAAAAAGTGCGGATTTTTGTTCCATACAAGTCAGTATTATCTTATTTTGTCAATTCCATTCAAAATTGCATTACATTTGTAATTAGGCTGTTGGTTCATTGTAGTAGTGAACTAATTATGGGAGTAATTTCATTCTTAAAAAAAAAATGTTAGGGTGCAAGAGAAACAAAGTATTGAGATGTATAAGTGATTACTGTTGAATAATATATTGCTTAAATATATATTTTGTACTAATTAAAAATAATTCTTAGTTCAGGTTTAATCATCTAGGAAACAAATGGAAAATAAAGAATAAAAATCCTACCTTGACACAAAGGTTCCCTCCAGTTTGCTGTACATCCACTAATACAAGTTCCATTTGTCTTGTCACAAACTCCTCCAAGACAATATCCGCATTGTCTACTGCAGTCTTCGTCATAAAATCCGTCAACACATTCTAGATAACGAATGTTTTTGACAATGTAAAAAATCTAATTGAAATAAAATAAGTGTATTAATTTTTAACTGAAAATGTCTTCATTACTGAAATGTTCATATGGATATGGTTTCCTCTGTGCAAATAAACAAAATCTCTTTTATGTGTATTGTTGGTCTAGCCTCATTAAAATTAATATGAGTTAAGTTTAAATTACAGAATTTATTTGAACAAATATGAATCTACACTACCTATGGATGCTTCTATAATAAACCGACTAATCATGTCTTTACTGTTTTTGGGCAGAAATTTTTTTTCAAGATGATCCCTATATATTATTATGCAAAACTTTGAATCTCTGTTGTGTCCCCCAACCTCTAGGATTCATAATTTGAACATACGTGATTCTATAATATCTTAAGTTGTTTATATATAAATATTACTAATAATTGCTTAGCTGTGCTCGAGAAGATCATTTTTTTGAGATATTTTCTATGTATCGTGTATGATAAGGTTCCTACAATGAATATATAGGGTTTCCTTTTACTCGGTCTTAGCTAATGATTGGAATGCGTATTAAGAGAGCTCTGTCTGAAGGTAAATTACACAGTACTTAAATTTTCTCTTATCTAGAGACGCGGACTGGAGAAGGTACAACTTGCAGTGTTTCTCACATAGGGTCCTATTGAAAGATAAAAACCGGCTGTCTCAATCTTCTACAGATCTACTACTCCCAGAACTTAATTTCATTTCCCTAGGATACTTGTCACTGGTGTTTAATACTTTAGTTTTGCTCTTACCCTTAACTTCTTTATTGTGGATTCAACGTCCAACTTCTTCAGCTAGCTTATGAATGCATGACTTTCCAAAAGTTTTGCATTATATACCCTTTGGATAGTCCATGTCAAGGGGTGTCAGGTAATTCCACTATTTGAAATCTTAAATGCATTTTACCGAAATGTCCCTTAACCATTACACCCATAAATTACTATGTAAAATTATGACCCACTGTTGTGGCCCGACCCTACACCCGGCGGTAATGATATGAGCAAACTTGAATCCTCAATACCTGGGGATACTTCTGTATGAATGTGACTTATAATAGCTACGCTGTTCCTGAGAAGATTTTTAAAGATGTTTCCTATATATTACTATGATGAACTTTGAGCCCTTGTTGTGGCCCTGCCCTACCCCAGGGGACATAATTGGAACAAACTTGAATCTTTACTATCTGAGGATACTTCCATTATTATATGACTAATGATGGCTTTGCATTTTTATAGAAGAAGGTTTTTAAAGATATTTCCTATATATTCGTACATGTATCTAAAACTTCGACCCCTTCTTCTGGTCTAGCCCTACCTCCGGGGGTTATGCGATGAAAAAAATTTGAATGTAGTGTATGTAATGAATTTTTCACATGTTTCATCTTTATTGCACAGTAGTTCTTGAGAAAAAGATTTTAAAAGTTGCCACAAATTTCCATGAATTCTTAATAATCTCCCCTTGAAAGAGGGTGTAGCACTTCCTATTAACAAACTCAAATCCCCTTTACCCAAGGATGCTCTCTGATAGGTTTGTTTGAAATTGGCCCAGTAGTACTTAAAAAGGAGTTGAAAATGAGAAAAACTTGCAGACGACAGACGACGGACAACAGGTACTTTTTGATCAGAAAAGCTTAAATGAGCCTTCTGCTCATTTGAGATGAAAAAAAAATACGTCAAATTATTTTTACAAGATTTAAGATCAACACTTTTACATATGTGAAAAAAAAACTTTCTCTTTGTCGATGTGTGAAGTTTGGTTCAATTCCCTTAAATGGAACGCATGTTATTCAATTAAAAATCAGCATGTTTTGTCACCAAGGGCACGCTTTACAACATAAAACATCAAAAACAACGAGAAAAGCAATCAAAATTACTCTACCCCTCATTTCATACACTGCTTGTAGCGTCATACCCATTCATTATTATAATAATCCATAACACCTGATACCTAGTTTGTTAACAATTTAGTTTGAAGTTAGTTTGAGGTTGTTTGAAAATTCTCTACTGCGTAAGTCTGCACTCAGAAGTCTTACAACACTGACACGCAAAACACTTTCCATGACAATACTAACTTGTTTGACCAAATTTTAAACTACAATCTGTTTCTTCGCGAATCATTAATCGTCCGATTCGAAGTCCTGACCATTCGAAAACTGTCTTTTCCTTGTATTTACAAATACACAGTATTTTTTTTTTATTTATTTCCTATTTCCTCCCACATTTTTAAAGTTTCTTTTAGAGGTTTCCCAAATGCAAAGACAACTTTTATCGCTAATCAGTGCTCCAGGACGTCCTTCGGCCTCATTTGTTGTTGTTGTTGTTGTTGTGTGTGTTTTTTTTTTAATGAAGACTATCTGTCTTAATTACAAACTGATATCTTTTAAACGAATCAATATATTGCATTACGTTTTACCATCTGAAGATATATAACAATACTTTATTTGACCGTTATTTTTTTTCTTAAAGCATCATTAATCAAAAGAATGACTATAGACATAAACTGTATTGTTTGTAAATTACCTGATTTTTACATTCTGCTCTGTGTCCCAGTTTTTGCTATTATCATTTTTAAAAATAAATTTAGTAAATTTCAAGATATATTTATCTTTTCTCTTCACTCAAATAATTTGAATCTATTGTTAAAATGCGTACAACATAATGTTAAATAAAAAAAAAGTCGCCCGCGTGGCACAGTGGTTAGAGCGTCTGCTCTAGAGTCGCGAAGTAAGGATTTGATCCTTGCGTCGAGGGTTCGAATCAAACTGTGGGACGTGGAGACCGGTCCTTCGGATGAGATCGTATAAACCGAGGTCCCGTGTCGCAGTATGTGCTGGCACGAAAAAGTTCCCTCACTGCCCATTGGCCGTAAGTGCCGATTATAGGAAAAAATTTGCAGCTCTCCACCGGCATTTGGTGGCGTCTCCATATGAGTGAAAAATTCTCGAGAAGGACGTTAAACAACATACAAACAAACAAATAAATAAAAAAAAAAAGTTGTGAGAATGTCTTAATATTATTTGAATTATTTTCGCTCATGTATCAGTACCAAAATGATAAAAATAAACTGAATGCTCTGTTTTGAAGCTTTTAAATCAGACTGCAAGGGACTAAACTGACTGAATTACATGCATATCTAAAGCAAAAATTTTGCTGAATATATTTACATGTATATAACATTGTTGGCTCCCAGTGTTTATATGTTTACCTTGGCATAACGGTTTTTTCCATTTCAGTTTGCAACCAGATAGACAGGATCCGTCTTTCTTGTCACAAAATCCTTCTCGACAATTTCCACACTGGGTACTACATTTCTGGTCATAGTAACCGCCAACACATTCTATATTTCACATAGGTTAAGTTTTAAGAACTTGTAGGTTCTATAGGCATTAATTTTTTTCTTATTTTCATTATTTTTCACATCAATATTTTACTCGATAAAGCCAAAAATATGTTACAATAAACATACCAGACAGTTTCCGTAATATTAGGTAAAGGATAACGAGCAGAGATTGATTTCATAAATTTAGAAACAAAACGATGTTTGGAAAAAAAAAAAAGCAAGATTCACGAAAGAGGGCAAAAAAAAAAAAAAAAATAAAAAAATAAAAAAAAAAACAGAGACCCCTTGAAACACCATATATTGGGTCATGGGCCTAGGAGGTCAAAGCATCTCCAGTTCACATTCGCTGTGAGCCGTATGTAATGATCAGGTATATAGATTAGTCAAATTTAGTATAAAAGTAGTGACCGAACAAATGTTTCTAAAAAATGCTAGATAAAAGACTATGCAACGACATATTGTATTTACAAGCAAGATAAGATAATTATTTTCACCTTTGAAATTGCAAAAGCTTGCTTTGATTGGGATTGTTAAGCCCTTGTACTATCAGCTCTTTTGAGAGTATCTTATCTTGTTTAAAAAAAAATTATTGTACTTAGAGCGTTCCTTTGTATCGAGTCAGTTGGCAAATATAAACATCATTTGCAGGAGCAGTTGGAATTATTCTACATAAAAAAGTTATTTTGAGTATGATAAGCTTATGTCATTTGTTTGTCATACGTTTAGTTATTAGTTGGCTTTCATCACCTGTATTTATTTAAACACCCAAACATGGAAAAGATTTTGTAGACACTGGTGTTCTTATTATCGTTCACTGAAACATACGAGTCGATTTGTATCTAACTATTCGTAATTGGGAAACGACGTTGATACATCTAAATTCGAGTTGATGGTTGTAAATAGGATAATAAAACGCATTACAAAAATGATACTCAGGCCATCTTTCAAAAAAATGTCCTCTCCCGACTCAGGATAAAAAAAATGGGTAGGTAGGTAGGTACAATTTTTTAAATTTAAAATCACCTGCAAACATGAAGTTGAAATAGTTACTAATAAATAAAAAAAAAAATTGCTTCCTTGAGGTAAAAAAAAAAGTTAGATCATTTTAGTCAGTCGACCAGGAGAGGGTAAACATTTTTTTTTAAGATAGCCTCAGCATCTACCTTGACATAAAGGCTCTTTCCAGTTAAGATTACAACCAGATAGACAGCTTCCATTTTTCTTGTCACAAAATCCTTCAAGACAATTTCCACACTGGGTACTACAATTCTGGCCATAATAACCATCAGAACATTCTATAATTAACACAGGTTAAATTAAAAATAGATAAAAGTGGTATCCTTCTTCTAAATATATTTATTGATTTAATCTAATGGCAACCTTATACTTAATTCGGTTACACATGCAATCTAGGCTCATTCTGTATACTCGAAATACAACTCAAAGAATAGTATTAAAAATTGTCTTTCTACTCTACACCACAAATATGATGGAAATAAAATAAAGATATAAATAAATAAAGCATTAAATTTATCTCAGACTTTTTGTGAAATCAGCAAATTTCTACATGAATTCTTTCTCTCTTTTGTATTGAGTTTTCATTCAAAGGGAGCAATCTTTATTAAAATCTTATTCGACTGGCTACGCGACCTGAACAGTTTACAGGAAAGAGCTTGATCAAAACGTTCTATGTTGTACATTACAGTCCCTGAAACGTTCTACTTTCCCACTTGAACGGTGAGCGAACGCTGAACGAACGGTGAACGAACGCTGAACGAACGCAGAGCGAACGGTGAGTGAACGATGTGTGAACGCTGAACGCAACTTGGTGAACGATGTGTGAACGGTGAACGGTGAGCGAACGCAGAACGCGAACGGAGCGCAAACGCGAACGCAAAGTGAACGGTGAACGAACGGTGAACGCAAGATGAACGATATATTCGGAATGCCTCTGATCTTTTCCTTGCATTGAAACTATTTTATTGTATTATAATGTCAGGTGCCAAAAAAAAAAAAGATAAAATAATTAAACCAATAAATGAATGAATAAATAAGTAAATAAAATAAATTCGAATTCTCCAAAATTGTCCTAAGAAAGACGATTCATGCACATAAGTTTTTAATCACACGATTTTTAACGCATTAAAACATTGCAATTGTTGCCGAACGCTAAAGTATAAAAGATATTTTTTTAGTTGGAAAATAAAAATGTTTATTCTTATTTGATAACAAATCAGAAAAAACTTCTGACTTATAGAATGAATTAAAGCGATTGTAACATCTATTCATATATGTATCTCCGTGTCAAGGCGATTTCATGTAAAGTAATAAAAAAATTAATTACAAAGGTCAGTGGACGTTTTGCATTTATACGCTCGTATTTTAAATTTTTAATACAATAATATATTATGTGTCATTTCTATTTTTTATGATGATTTATTTAGCAGACTTCAATTTTCCGAACTTGATATTTAAGTAATATGCTGTTATAATTTTTATCAAACAGACAAATGAGAGAGAGAGAGAGAGAGAGAGAGAGAGAGAGAGAGAGAGAGAGAGAGATTCCGTTTTAGCCCCCCCCCCTTCCTTTCAGGCTTCACTAAATGTTTGCACCTATATCAAACAATAACTCTGATATTTTTTTCTAAATATATTAGACAGTGAAAGTAACTTTTTTTTTTTATCAACAAATCATATTCATCTGTTTGACAGTATTACTCGTTTTTATTTTCCTGCTTCAAGTTCACACGAAGTCCACGTGCTTGTCCTGTCAATCAAAATCATTCGACACTGTGCAGGTGTGAAAGTTTCGTCACATCGAAGACGAAGTGCGAGTATTTCCAACAAGTTATAACATTTATTTTTATAATTTCTAGATTTGATACCAACATTGAATAATTAGTGAATAAAATATATTGGGCATTAACACTTGAATTTGAAACATACTCTCTGCCAATTTCAAATACCACCGCCAACACGTGTACATTTTGAACTACTATTGTTTTGTGACTTTTTTAGATGCATGTTTGTTTTGAGACTGAAATTTTTGTTCTAAAAAAGACCTTAACTTTTTTTTAACAGGTTAATTAAAATTTTCTGGAAATACAGTACTGACTAAGTAACCGATTTAGGGGAAAAGGGGGGGGGGTATTAATCATATCGAATAGCAAACATATAAAGTTACGGTGAAGAAAGATTTTTTTCTCTATAACTATAGACTTTACATACATGTATTATAGTAGCGAATATTCTGTAGTGCATTACATTTTAAATAAATATTTCCTTTAAACACACTATCAATTTAATTCGCTCCAAAGATAATAAATTAACAGGATATCCGCAGTACTATGTATAACTCTCAGAACTAGTTCTATCATATTTTCTGTAGTAATTGAATAAAAAAAACACGTTAGAAATAAATATTTTCGTAATTTTGCTGCGTAATTATTTGACTTGGATAATTATATCTCCATTAACGTTTTGTCGTCTTTAACAAAACATCAAAATGTTGCAGTGCTTGAAGTATTTGCACATTGGCCTTAGTTAAATTTAATATTTCAGCATCGTTCTACATAGGTACAGGATGTGCTTATAACAACATTTTTTTCCAGAGTAATTTAATAAATAACCTAATAGCTAAGTTAGAATAATAAAAATATATATCTTAGATATTTTCCCCCATGAAATAATGATTCTTCAAACACGATATGTTAGTATTAAATTAAACAATCTGTAACTCCTTACCTACAAAAAGATAAGTCCTTTCACTTGGGAGTTCCGAATGGCAATGACAACTGAACGATAGGTGAACGCTGAACGCAAGGTGAACGCAATGTGAACGGAACGAAGAGCGAACGCTGAACGCTTTGTGAACGGTGAACGCGAGCGCACGGTGAACGGTGAACGCAAAAGTGTGAACGGAGAGTGAACGGTGAACGCACGGTGAACGAACGGTGAACGCACGCTGAACGAACGGTGAACGAACGGTGAGCGAACGGAAAAATGGGAAAGTAGAACGTTTCAGGGACTGTATAAACAAAAAAAAAAAAATATCCGACTGTAATGAAGGGTTTACTAGGAAAACACCAGATTGCATAAGCTATGATTCAGACTCAGGGATATAAAATACAACATGCAGAAAAATCTCCGTACATAATTGATAACTAATAACATCTACCTTGACATAAAGGTTCTTTCCAGTTCAATTTGCAATCAGATAAACATCTTCCGTCTTTCTTATTACAAAATCCTTCAAGACAATTTCCACACTGGGCACTACAATTCTTGTCATAGTAACCGTCAGCACATTCTATCATTGAGAGAGTTTTTATTTTTATTTTTTCCTTGTTAATTGCAAACAAAATCACTTCTTACAAATAGAAGACTTTTCTTCCTTTTTATCAATAATATCTAATGGCTAAAAGTATCTGATTCACAGGCTATAAAACTTGTAAATACAACAATATTGCACATCACTCATTGTGAAGCTAACTATCTACCTTGACACAAAGGCTCTTTCCAGTTCAGTATGCAACCAGATAGACAGCTTCCGCCTTTCTTGTCACAAAATCCCTCTCGACAATTACCACACTGGGTATTACAATTCTGGTCATAGTAACCATCAGCACATTCTAAACAAATGAGTACACTTGTTCAAAATACCTATTTGTATAGCTTTTAAAAGAACATTTCTAGGCCAGTCAAACTGAGGACCCTTTTGTTCACAAGGTTTTATACCAAGGACCCCTCTACAGATCTAGTTGTGGAATTGAACCTTATTTGTAAGTTTTAACTTTTTCCTTTGTTTCTGGAGCTAAGGGAGGCTTTTGAGCTTCCAAATATTTTTGGGGAGGAATATTGGTATTCAGGGTATTGGTGAAGAAATTACATTCTTTATGATATTGTTTAATGTCATTTTAAAATTACTCTTAGTGAGATAAAATTAAAAATAAGAATTAAAAAAGAAATTTAAAAAAAAAATTATGAAGCAATAATCCATTTCGAAAAGCTATAAATAAAACAAATATGAACAGCGCATAAGCAAAGACCCTTGGAAGTTCCAGAGATCTAGTGCCTAAGAGGAATAAGCCTCTCCTGTTGACCAGTTACACCTGTCCTGAGCCAGACATTGTGATTAGGTAGACGGAATAATCCGTAGTCAAATTTAGTATAGAAATAAAGGTTTAACAATTGGTCTGAAATATGACAGTCCAAACACGATCAAATGATTTACTGTATTCATTTGCTAACAAGGTCATTATTACAACCATAGAATTTATAAAAAGCTGACATATCTTAACGAGGCCCAATCTAGACTGAAATTTTGTTACCTTGCCTTGATTGTAGTGGAACGGAGACAATTTCAAAATATGAACATTTTCTCATGGTTTTACGTTCAAATATGTCCTAAAACTATATAAAAACGATGGAATTGATGAATTAAAAAATAAATGGTGAAATTTTTTTGCTGTTCTCATGTATTATGCAGTATCCATTCCTCATTCCAAAAATGAAAAGAAAAGTGGGGGTAGCCTTTATTGTAGTGAAAATGGGGCATATCAAAACACAAAAAAGGACTTTAAATTATATCTAAGGTACTTCATAAGTTGCTGTAGTCTGCAAAATATCAAGAAATGATTGTTGTGGTGTATATGTTTCTCAAAATTAAATGCTCCTTACATTATGAAATAATTTTCTCTTCAATCGTTATTTTGTTTAACACAAACGAAGAGGGAGGGATGTTGGTAAAAAAGATAATAAAATTACAAATTCTGTTATTATGTAGGAACTAAAATATTTCTCCTTGGTTGCATTTAAATGACTCGTAGATTTCTTTTTTTTTTTGCAAGTCAATCTACTGCACGCATAGTTATCAACAAAAATTGGTAAATAAACATTTTCAAGGAGAAAGACTAGTTGTGTTTACTTTAGGTTGCATTTATTCAAACTCAAAAGTTAAAATGAAATACGAAGAAACTTATAGATATCTAACTTAGAAATTCAGAATATCTCAAAATAAATTCTGTTACAATGTTGTTTTTTAATCAAAACATTTATTTATTCAAACACAAACATTGATAGAAATGCCAGAATGTGTGAGATTTCAACACGCATAGTCACTACCTACCAGGAATGCAAGAAAATCGAAATATTTTAGTGCAATTTGACGTCATTTGAACAGTGACGTTATTGTTTTCAATTGCGACTACAACCAAGGGTACTGTGGCAGGTCTTAAACAACGCTGAGTGAAAACATATGCGCAAACCAACTAGATTGAACCTTGTAAATATGTAAGACACTGGTAGCAAAAGACGTGATAATTTGTCAAAAAAAAAAAATGTTTAAAATTTTGATTGACCAAGTGAAGTGTCAATTTAACTTTTTGTAAGGAAAACTGAAACATTTTGTTCATATAGAAATGTGATCATGATACTGAGAAAGGAGGAACAAGTGTACCATACCAGAATAGGCTGACAGTAGATTTAAAAAAAATATTATTATAAAAAATCCACTTCGTTGGGTTTTAAATAAATAGCTATAAACAACTTACACCCATACGTTTCAGAAAACATATTCCCGGTTAATTGTTTTGATTTTTAAACACATTCTAAGGAATATCTCTCTCTCTCTCTCTCTCTCTCTCTCTCTTTCTCTGAGTTTTGATAATGCTGAACTCTTAGATAAAACAAAACTGTATACTTTAATATAGTCGCAATGAAGAAATCGTGGCAGATAAAAAACTAAAGGGTAATTGATATGTAGTGTACCTTATTTAATTTATTTGATTTCATTTCTTATTTTTGTCTAAATAGATTTAAAATCACCACCCCTTCCACTAGCCGTCAAACAGAAGCATAAATCACTTAAATTTTGACAGTAAAAATGAAATATTTGGAGCACAGTATAAAAAAAATCATAAATATTTAATACTTTATTTATAAGAAATACTTAGACATTGTTTATGCATTTTTGCTCACTTGGGTATATTTGAATTATTTTTCATAAATGATGACAAAATCAATTATGTGTAAAATGTACACATGTATCAATATCCTCACTTCGAATTTATGAATTTATGAAATGCAGACATATTAAATATAAATATGCTTCTGAAGCAAGTTGGCAATTCACCTTTTTGTGTGCATGCATAAGAATCATCTCAGAGGATTTCTTGAATACAGTTATTTTATCGATAGCTTATACATGCTAGTACAAAGAATATATACTTATAGTATACATGTATATATGTGTACCGATATCGGTTTCCTCAAATACTTGCACTTGAAAATTTCGTTTTTCCAGATATTTATTTCAGAAAATATTTATTCCTGATTTTGTTTCCACAATAGGCGTTTTAAACAAACAAAAGATTGTTTTTCTCGCATATTTTGTGTAATTTATAATTTTTAATTGTTGTATGAATTAAATGTTAACAATTGATTCACAAATAAGTGGTTATTTGATGCATCAAAATTTAAATATAAATCCAAATATCATATTGTCATCACCCACGAATAAAACCGATAATAAGCATAACGATTTGTATCGGCAATATCAATATCTAAGGTAAGTGTAAAAGTTTTTCTTGACTATGGCCATTTCTAACTTTTGGAAAACCGGCATTTTTAACGTTTTTATCAATTTTTTGACACCGTTGCATGTCGCACGTGCCTAATGGCGCACAATTTAACAAAATAAGTTACGTATGAAACAGAAGTTTGTAGTCCTCTAACACTTAATGTGTAGTGATCTTGTTGAATCGAAACTTTACTTTTGTGAAAATCACAGGGCCAAATGATGGTTCGTTGCTCAAGATCTTTCTTTAGTACAGAAAATGATGTTAGCATGTCGATGAATACAGATAAATTGTATATATAAAAAAAAATAGACGTCACATATGCCAGAAAGTAAATAAGTACATGTGTTTGCTTTAACAGGTTTGACTATCGGTGAAGATAACGAACGGTGATCCACATACAAAGCAAATCTCTCAACAGGATACAGTCCCTGAAACGTTCTACTTTGCCACTTGAACGGTGAACGAACGCAGTGAATGAACGATGAGTGAACGCTGAACGCAACTTGATGAACGGTAGGTGGATGGTGAGCAAACGCAGAACGCGAACTGAGCACGCACGCGAGCGCATAGTGAACGGTGAATGCAAGATGAACAATTTATTCGGAATGCCTCTGATCTTTTTCTTGCATTGTATCTATTCCATTGTATTCTCATGCCTGGTGCAAAATAAATAAATAAATAAATAAATAACTATTCCAAAATTGTCCTAAAAAGGAGAAAAAAATCACATTAATTAAAACTATTAACTAAGTTTCTGCACATATGTATGATGTTTAAATTCAGCTGTTTTTTCACACGATTTTTATCGCTGTAATTGTTACCGAACACTGTAGTTTAAAAGCTTAAAATATTCTAGTTGTTTATTCGTATTTTACATATAAAACAATAACAATTAATAATTTTCGAAGAGGAAATTACTTACTTATAGAATGAACTACAACGGTTGTAACAACCATACATATATTTCCGTGCCAAGGCGATTCCGTGTAGAATAATGAGAAAAAATTAAAAATATTTTAAAAAAGGTCTGTGGACGTATTGCATAAATAGACTCGTATTTTAAAAACTAAATGCAATAATATATTTATGTGCATTCAATTTTTTCAATGATGATTTAAAAATTTCAGAACTTGATATTTAAGCAATATGCTGCCATAGTTTTGATTAAATAGACAAACGAGAGAGAGAGAGAGAGAGAGAGAGAGAGAGAGAGAGAGATTACGTTTTAGCCCCCTTCCTCAAATGCATGTATTTCAAACAAAGTATCAAACAGAACTTCTTAATTCTTATCTAAATATATCAGGCAGTAAAAATAATCATTTTTTTTAAATCAACAAATTCATTTGTTTGACAATCATAATCTGTCTTTAATTTCCAGCATCAATTTCACACGAAGTCCACGTGTTTGTTCTGTCAATCAAAATCATTCGACCTTTGCAGGTGTGAAAGTCTCGTCACACCAAAGGCGAAATGCTTCACTGTAGTATTTCTAAGAAGTTTAAACATTTTTTTTATCATATCTAGATCTGATTACAAGTTTTCTAAAATAAATAAATAAATAAATAAAATACATGGGGCATAAACACTTGGAATGATTAAGCCACGTGAATTTGAAATACACTCCCTGCCAATTTAAAATACCACAGCCGGCACGTGTATATTTTGAATTACAATTGTTTATTGACTTTTTAAGATGCATGTTTGTCTGGAGACTCAGATTTCTGTGCTAGAAAACG